ACATAAATAATGCATCTAAACTGTAAATTTAGATTTTACACACTTTTAATTATTTGGTATATACCTAGATTATAAATATTTTCTAGTATTTGGTTTTCTTGTTAAAATTCTAACATGCTATATTTTCAAATTTTGGTAATTCCAAGCATAGTCCTTCAACTTTTCAAAAATTTCAATTTAGTCTTCAAAATGTTAAGATATTGCAGTTCAGTCCACCACAGTTATACTTTAGACCTATAAGAGGGGGGATAGGTTGTTTCGAATGATTAAAACTCCAGAAGTGGATACACATGTAACTAAAGTCTACTAGAGCTAGCAGTATCGTACTCTCATCATGTAACACCCCACATTTTCGAAAACCTAATCCCTAACCAAAGTTCCATAACCCGAAAATTCTCACGTAGGAATTATTAGGAATTTATTTACCTTATTAACTTAATTTCTCTAAGTGCCTTATTCACTTATACTATTAATCCTTATATGCCGATTTGATTATATGACTTATGTGCTAGGAATTTATTGAATAATTATGTGCCAACTTTATTTCGGTAATTATGTGCTTAAGTGGATTAAATATTTATAATTGTGTGCTGTAGCGCCCCGCCCCGAGTAGCAGGCACCTCGTGGCGGAACACCACTCAACATGCAGTACATTCAATGACCCCAATTATGCTCCTCAAAATTTCGATGATCAAAACATTAAACCCCCAATATCTATACCATCGTGTTTACAAAAGGAGGTTCTATTACAAGTCGACTTCGACACCACTTACTCTATTACAAAATTCTCGATCAAAGGATTCCTATACGGAACATAATTAGAGATACCTCTCGACGAGACTAATCGGAGGCATACACGAGCTTTAGCACTTGGTATAAAAATTTAGGTCTAAGTCTTTCTTTTACCTGCGCATTAATATCAGAAAGGAGAAACGAATAAGTCCGAATGACTTAGTGAAAAACATATGATCCATGAGTATGATGAGAATCAACAGAACAGAACATATAACAAGAGACTTTACAAGAATTTCATTAACAGAAGTGTAACATGTACAAGAGTGTAACATGTACGGCTTGAGTTCAATATTTGGTGGGATCTCCAACCTTGTAACTCCCAACAAATAAAATCATATCACATCCTTATCCCTCCAATCCGTCCCGAGTGGCCACTCGGTCGGAAACAGGCAAGAGGCACGACCGGAACGTGCCGATCCGGCTCAGGAACGTTTAACTCCAAACGAACGTGAGTCCGAACCATCAGGAGGTACCATTCGGGAGACCAGTCATCGTCAGCCCAATACTGCCCGATCGTCTTGCCGAAATGGTCCTAGGGCCCAGCTCCCCCAAGAGCGTCCTCAAGGGTGGGGACAGTAGGTTCAAGAATCAATATTATTCCTTTTAGGAATATCAAGTCATTCATTTCAAGAATCAAGTCAATCATTCACCAGATAAGTCATGATCACGATAATCGAACATCAAGTCTCAGGATAATGAACATGTTCGAGAATTCAGTTCAAGCCAATGAAAGAATTGTCGTGAATATGGAATTCAAGAAGAACAATAAGTTCCATGTCAGGTTCCAAGAACGAGTATATCAGGATCTCAATGAATTCAATAAACATGAGATTCAAGTTCGAGCCAACAAAATATTTATTCTCGGAAAGCATTCAAGACAAGATTTTGAGAATAAATATAGTTCAATATCGATTCAAGGAAAATGTTCAGGCCAGGGAATCAAGTATAGGAATTAGCCGTGAACATAGCAACCAAGAGAATTGACAAGTTCAAGATTTCAAGAACAAGATCAAGGCTCCAAGTTCGAGCCAGAAAACAATATGCTCGCAGATGTTTACTTGAACTTCGTTGGAAGAACAAATATAATAAAGGTATCAAAGGCTTCAATATGTACAAAATATTCGGTTCAAACAAAGGAGATATTATGCGCAGGAAAGAAATTGGATAAGGAGTCATAGTTTCTCACCTGGAGTCCAACGCTAGTGCTATAGAAGCATCATTAAGCTTAAACCTTGAGTGAGAGCTTTACTATGCTCAACACCTATGCAAATATTAGAACTAAATAAGATTCCGAACAGTAATATAGCCATATTACCATCCACTATATGACATAGTCAATTTCTTAAACATATACTAAGAATTGCTTCTCGCGACAATTTATTCAAATAATCACTGCGGTCGTCGTACTTATCCGAATGACCTAAATGATATATAAATTTAAAGATAACATACGTATCTACAAGTTTACTGAAGACAGTAATCCCAAATTAACAACATAACCCGTCAATAACAACCCCGAAAGATGAACACATAAACCTGCCAGATTTTCGGATAATTTCGTTTACTGTCACAGTCTGTTTGAAAAACCATAACAAATTGTACGGTTATCCAAATTGTCCAAATAATACATCAAATGAAACCTGTCAACTTAATCTACAAGTTTCATGAAGACACACAGCCCAAATTATGATCCCAACATATCGAAAACAGTCCCGCAAGAAGATACTCAAAACTGCCCTGTTTCCGGCAGATTACTGTCATCGGATTCCGACCTCTAAAACACGTATATTAAATACTCTAATTCGATACAACTGAACACTTACTTATAGTTTACGATGTCCTCTACGAGTTTCCTGAAGGAACCGATTCCAAATTCGCATTCGAAACCCTTCGATTTCGGCTCCGAAAACAGGTGCGGCAGCAGATTTTGCTTCCCTTCGTTTCAACGAGCGAGCTGAAGTTCTAGCCAATTCCGATGACCACCGCTGATGTAGACAATCAAGAACCACCACCACTGGAAATCTAACTTATTAAGGTTTCGAACGGTACCTTCGGATCATCGATGCTCCATCTTTAAGACCTCCGTTTAATTGATTTACGGAAAAGGCAAAACTATGAAATTGAAATTCTGGACAGCTCGTCTTCTTTGTCGGATTCCAGCCACCACCGCCGGCGACTGCTGCTGGAGACCACCACCACTATAAATCTGACTTCCCAATATTTCTAATGATATGAGCTGATCATTAATACCCTTTGCTAAGGCATCCACGCAGCCCCGATTATGCTGATAATATGAATTGGGGATTTCAGCCAAGAATCAATATAGAAGAGAGAGAGAGAGAGAGAGAGAAACGGTGAGAAGGTGAGAGAAGAAGAAGAAACGTGGCGGCCAAAGAAGGAATTAGAATAGACGAAGTACACGTTGGTTCTTATCTCACTTGTAAATTCTAAAATTAGCTTATAGGGCCAAATAGTTTTCTTAATTACCAAATAGATGCCATAAGTTTAGATAATTACAATTCTACACTTCCCATCAAATTCGAGATATATTATAATTCCATATCGACACATATCAACTAAATAAATTCAATTATCCCCAGACTTAAACAACTTACATATTTACGGGGTGTTACACTCTGCCCTCCTTAAAAGAATCTGGTCCCCAGATTCTCAACTATTATTCGAACATGGAAATACAATTTCCTAAAATTATCTTCTTGCTCATCCGTCGCTTCTTCAACTTGGTGGTTTCTCCATAATACCTTCAAGTCTTGATCAAGGAATTCGTTATCAAGAGGAATACACTTATGCGGGTAGTCTCTAGGAGGTTGGTTCCGAAATAGGGATCAATCCCTATTTATATGATAAGTTATTCCCAAGCTACGGTTTCTTCAAGGAAGAATATCTGAGATTGATCGAAATAGTGTTAACTTAGTCCTTCAAACCTCTACGAATTATTTCCATGACAATCAGTATCTTCCCAATCTTAGAATTGACTTGGATAACGAGTCAAACTATTATCGTAATGAATTCGAAATTACTTATTCAATTCAAATCTGAGGTAGTACTAGGAACTACTGCTCGTGAAACCTTAATATCCGCGACTTCATTAGAAATATTATCCAATTCATCGGTCTCATACTCGATGTAGCATTACTGTTGAGCAACATGCTGAATATTTATAATGTTCTAGAAGTTGAAGGCCGAGATACGGTTCGTCAACCAATTAATGGGACCTGTGAGGTACATCAATTATGGGGAAACAATCGAGTTAGGGTTGTAGCTAGGAGTGCTACAAATGGTCTGATGAGAGGAATGAAAGGGATTAATAAGGGTCTGATATCGTTCGAATCTTTAAATCTCTCCCTAGTTATCCGTGTCACATTCTTCAAGAGAATGTGTTTCTTCTCCTCCGTTTCGGTCGAATCTTTGTGGTAATTAGAATTATATATCTAGCTCCACATGTGTATAACTCTTTTGACGACCTTGTGTAGGCTTTGATCTTATTTGATAAGTCGAACTTTACCGTAGCATCTCTACGATCTCCAATCACCACCCCTTGTGTTTGCTATCGTTGGTTATTCGCCGCTCATCTAGTCTGGAATCGCAAGCTTGATCGACACTTTATTCCATGAACTACTGTGAAAATGTTTGTATTCCAGCTTGATAGATTCCCAAGTATTACGCTAATCTGCGTTATATGTTCTCAAGGTTCCTTCAATGTTTCCAGTCATCCACTCAAACAAGAAGTTAGTTTTGAGAACGTTTCTCGTACCAAGCTGAAATTTTGTCCCATATCGCAGATAGTTGCTTTCATAAGAACGAGATGACTCATAATCTATATAGAGATAATGTGAGTTAGCTACAAGAGATATATTTTGGATCTAAATTATCTTTTGGAGACAAGGAGGCAACTACTTTCCCGGTCCACAAAAATTCTCTTCTCATTAGTCTACATAAAGTGGAATTGAATGCACCACGATTACAATCAAAGAGGACGACGAAGCCTGATTTACTTATTGCGTCAACATGGGACAATAGAAGAGCTTGATTATAGATGGCGTTTGCAAAGAAAAGGTCTTCAAATAGTAGATCGACTAGGAAATTGTTGATGGAGGAGAGCTTTACTTCTAAAATCAAGAGTAATCGAAGATGGCAACGGTTAATACAATCTTCCGGTGGTTTCGCAACCGCATGCCTAATAATTACTTATCGTAGAGAAGTCATGACTCAGAATATTCGACAATTGAGCAGCCTTAATTTTTCATTCAATTCACTACTATTTCCAACATAGGTGAACTAGTCTAATATAATTCTTCGACACCAAGCGCGCTCTAATCACGTCGGAAACATTATACACATTATGTCTATTAATGTCGATGGTGCATTACTTCAACCAAACGACATGATGGGCAAAACTTATTTATAGCAAGTTGATCATGAAGCCCGAATTCTTGTAGTTATCGTTCCCAACTTACAAAGAAAAGTGCAATCCTCTACGGTGCTCTCGACATAGGTGTTGTACTTTAAACACCTTCTCCACATAGCACTTGGCTCTTGATATTAACCAAATAGAATTGGAAAACTGATAATCCAATGTCAAGATATAGCTGACTTATCGGATACTAGGGACTCTAGAGGTGGCTCATGCAAGATTAAGAGGTGGCTCCCGTTGTGTAGCACTTTGTCCCGCAGGTTCAAGAGGTGGCTCCCACATCGTAGCACTTTGCCCTGCATAGCACTTAGCTCCTTGTACCCTGACGATTAGATACAAGAATTCAAAATGCTCAAGATACTTTAAGAGTCAACAACTCTATAAACTTTCTAAGTCGTGATAACTACATAACCTTTTTCGTCGAGTAAGATAATCGTCGAAACTATACCAGGTCGAATCCATAAGATGATATAACAATAGATGCATACAACCGTAGTCATATTACACGACATTGCCCAAACAAGGTCCATACTTTTACCCTGAATTAACAATAATCATGGCCTATGAGTGAGAGGGAACAACAGGAAGCGATATGAAGAAGTCGAATCACAAGGTTTCAAAGGAATAAGAAACCTCACAGAAAAGAAGTCGAATCACAAGGTTTCAAAGGGATAAGAAAACTCACAGAATAGGCTATCCGAATAGGCTATCCCAAATCAAGAAGTATTAAATGAGATGAGGAATATCAAAAGGAACGTAACAAGAATATGGAAGCATTCAAACAAGATCAAACACCTCACTCATGATCAATAATGGGAAGGAAGTAAGATAGTCAAGCAATATTGTATTCAAAGAATCAGAAACCTGAAAAAGTAGGTAACCGAGATGCCGAAGTATTGAAATGAGATATGGAGTTTTGAAATGAGATATGGGATTTCCATTGTGATCAATAATAACAATGGAACAATGCATGTACAAGAATTGAATTTTGAGGCCAAAAGAACAAGAACCTCAAACATAAGTAGAAAGATTGCCCCAACATTAGAATAATAACAATGGTATAGCCAAATGAAACGAGAATAGGGACCTCAAAGGTACGTGACCAAAATCAAGAGATATTCAAGAAAATTGGAACATTGAAAATGGAGTAGTATATATTGAATAAGTAAAGAAATATTCAAGGAAATAAAAAGTCTCGACAAATAGATTAGCCAAAACTAGAGTGTTCAAAGAGATAGAAAACCTCACAATTATCAAAAGCAGATGGTAGTGGAAAAAATAAGGAACCTCACAAGAACATGACCAAAATCATATGGTATTCAAAATAATTGAACACTAAAGATGGAGTGAACTGGATAAGAAGTCTCGGCAAATAGATAAGCCAAAACCATAGAATGTTTACAAAGGATAGAAGGTGGAGATGGTAGCACAATAAGGTAAGGGGCTTCAAAACAAGGGATAATCCAAACCATGCGGAATTTGAAGGGGTACGAAACCTCATAAAATTGGTAACTAAGACTATGAGGTATTAAAATGAGATAAGAGAATCGATTACGATCACCAAATGAAATTAGACAATATAGGCCAACGAATCAAAATAGAATTCATTGGAATGATAAGGAGTGAACAAAAGAACTCCCGAATATTTGGTTCACCGTAATTCAATATTCAAAATGAGATAATAAGGTTCGGATAAGGAAGTCAAGTTATACAGTACTCAAAGAATGGGACGTCTGCAAAAAAGAGTATTACTCGATTCAAGTGAGACTAGGGACCTTACTCGTGATAAACAACATCGGAGAATTGGGAGCCAATTGAAGTAACCAAAAGAACCATGAATCCCATCGTGTATGATAGATATTTCTACGGGGTATTCCTCACTATCTATATCGGTAATAGACGCTAAATTATCATCTCAATGCCTCTAATACTCGATTACTACCTATCTTCTCAATCTCCCAAGATTCAATTCATAGCTCTACAATTCTCAAAGATCCCTTTCCATCATCGCCCGGGCATCAAACCCAAAGCTCTACCAACCCAAAGCTAACTAACCCAAAGCTCTGATACCACCTGTAGCGCCCCGCCCCGAGTAGCAGGCACCTCGTGGCGGAACACCACTCAACATGCAGTACATTCAATGACCCCAATTATGCTCCTCAAAATTTCGATGATCAAAACATTAAACCCCCAATATCTATACCATCGTGTTTACAAAAGGAGGTTCTATTACAAGTCGACTTCGACACCACTTACTCTATTACAAAATTCTCGATCAAAGGATTCCTATACGGAACATAATTAGAGATACCTCTCGACGAGACTAATCGGAGGCATACACGAGCTTTAGCACTTGGTATAAAAATTTAGGTCTAAGTCTTTCTTTTACCTGCGCATTAATATCAGAAAGGAGAAACGAATAAGTCCGAATGACTTAGTGAAAAACATATGATCCATGAGTATGATGAGAATCAACAGAACAGAACATATAACAAGAGACTTTACAAGAATTTCATTAACAGAAGTGTAACATGTACAAGAGTGTAACATGTACGGCTTGAGTTCAATATTTGGTGGGATCTCCAACCTTGTAACTCCCAACAAATAAAATCATATCACCTCCTTATCCCTCCAATCCGTCCCGAGTGGCCACTCGGTCGGAAACAGGCAAGAGGCACGACCGGAACGTGCCGATCCGGCTCAGGAACGTTTAACTCCAAACGAACGTGAGTCCGAACCATCAGGAGGTACCATTCGGGAGACCAGTCATCGTCAGCCCAATACTGCCCGATCGTCTTGCCGAAATGGTCCTAGGGCCCAGCTCCCCCAAGAGCGTCCTCAAGGGTGGGGACAGTAGGTTCAAGAATCAATATTATTCCTTTTAGGAATATCAAGTCATTCATTTCAAGAATCAAGTCAATCATTCACCAGATAAGTCATGATCACGATAATCGAACATCAAGTCTCAGGATAATGAACATGTTCGAGAATTCAGTTCAAGCCAATGAAAGAATTGTCGTGAATATGCAATTCAAGAAGAACAATAAGTTCCATGTCAGGTTCCAAGAACGAGTATATCAGGATCTCAATGAATTCAATAAACATGAGATTCAAGTTCGAGCCAACAAAATATTTATTCTCGGTAAGCATTCAAGACAAGATTTTGAGTATATATATAGTTCAATACAAACTACCTCAAAAACTCCCCTCACATTATGCTGCCTGCCGTCTGCCCGCGGGGGTTACATCTACCCTTTTTTT